TTTATTATGCATTTTTTTTATATAAATACAAATTTATTAATTAAAATACAAAATTTACGTAACATCACCAATCATGCAACTATAATAAGGGAAGACTCTAAATTGAATTTAACTAAATTTAAATTAAATTAATTACTATTAAAACTAAATTCAAAAATAAATATATTTATAGTTTCCAAGAAAGTTGATATATTTAGAGATTTTATAAATGGTAGGATTAGGGGTGGAGATCGGACGGATCGGATCGGAATCCACCCCTTCGGAAAATTTCCGATTTTTTTCGGAAGTGAAAAATCACTTCCGATTCCGATTCCGAATATTTCGGAATACAAAAGCCCGTTCCGATTCCAATTCCGAAAAAAAAAATCGGAATTTCGGAATTTTCGGAAACGTCGTTGACTATGCCCGGCAACTGAAGCACGGAAGAAAAGCAACGGCCACGGCGGAGATTTATAGGGAATAACGATAGCTTTTGGGCAGCAACTCCGGCGATCTTGAGAGAAAAAGGATTGTGGTATTTTGCAGCAATTCCAGCCTCTGTTTCGCGATCGTGAAGGCAACGATTAAAGATATGGTAAGTTTTATGACTCATATGGTAGAGAAGAAGAGTTGGCGGTGGAAAGAAAAAAAAAAGTTAAGAGCAGGGAGATGTGAAGCGGCGCAAGAAAAAGAAGAAAAAAAAAAATTCAGAGCAGGGAGATGAGCAGCGCAAGAAGAAGAAGAAAGAAATTAGGGTTTTATAATTTTTTGGTATTTAATGTTTAGTCCCTAAAATTCTGAATATTCAATATTTGGGCTCATAAGTTTGCTAAAGTGGGCTGCCTTACTAGAGTGGGCTTTTTAAAAGCCTAACTAGAAACAATATAGTAAATTAGTAATGAAGAAATATTAATAAATTTCGGAAAAATTCGGAACATTTCGGAAAAATTATCGGAAATTTCGGAATTATTTTCGGATCAGAATTCGGAAATTCCGAATAATTCATATACAATTCCGATTCCGATCCGATTTTTTCGGAAAAAATCAGAAATCGGAATTTCGGAATTCGGACTACAAAAAATCGTTTCAAAATCGGAAAAAATCGGATCGGATTCGGCGGAAATCGGAAATTTCGTTCCGATTTCCACCCCTAGGTAGGATATAAATATATTAATAAAATAATAAAATATATTTAATTACCTTTAATTTTAGAAATGATGACATGTTTTTGATGATTTATTTTCACCAATCAATTTGCCACATGGAATGAAATTGAATACATGTCATCAATTGAAATTGTCAAATGTCAAGGAATTAAGGGTGGAATTCAACTTATATATATTATATAGATGATTATATTTTATGAAATGAAATAATAAAACAATAAAAATATGTATATGTCGTATTTTAAACAAATATAATTTATTGAATGCATTTCGCGATATTCTGTAATTACGAAAATTTGAAAAAAATATTTAATCATTAAAATTAGTCGATTATTACAATGAAAAAAAATTCCTAAAATTTATTTGAATATTCATAAAAAATGGACGTTCAAATGAATATATTTGAATATTCTTAATGTTAATGTAGTAATTTATTCAAAAAAAATTAAGATTGAAATATAAAATAGAAAATTATAATGAATGTAAAATATGTAAACTATAAGAAAATAAAATAAAACTCCAAAATTGCACCAATGAAACAAAAGTACAGAAAATGTTTGTCTTTATTATTTACAAAAAAAAAAAAAAAAAAAAAACATTCAAAAGATGATACATGTCAATTGTGGTGAAACATGTACATACAACAATATTGTCCAATCCTGTTTTCAAAATCAAAGAAAAATAATAAAATCTTTGATTTCCACGTTTCCACATGCAATACATGATTCAGTGTCAATTTCTTTCATTTCTGTTTGACAAAACAATAATCGATTTTTGGATAATGATAAATATATAAGGCAATTAAATTAAAAAACTAAATACAAACTTTTAAATAAATAAATGAAATTACAAAAATTATATGCAAACCGTAACAATGTAGCACATAGGACATAAGTTGGATTCGTAAACAACATCTGCAAGAAATACATAAAGAAAAAGTATTAGCATAGTTCTTCAGTTAAATAAAAATATTAAATAGGTTTAAACCATCTAAATTAAATTATAATACGATAAATGCATGAAATCAATTGAAAAAAAATTCAAAAAAATTTCCAAAAAAAAAAATACCAAAAAGAGAAAACGAAAAACGAAAAACGAAAAACAAAAACAACTCGAATGGCATGGGTAAAGAAGAATAGTGTAGGGTAAAATAAATAGATGGGAGTTTATATAGTTTTGATAAGTATATAGTAATTAGGAAATTTTTTGAATTCAAATTTCAAATGACATGATTATAGGTAATCTAGGTGGAAATAGAAAAAAAAAAAAAAAAGTAACAAATCAAAAAAATCAACTCAGATGATTTGATTTGTATTGATTAGGAATTGATTTTAAAATATTAAACAATATTTATGGTTATTGAATATTTTCTTTAAACTAACTATATAAATTTATAATTATGTTAAATAGGTAAGAAATCAAATTTCATATCATAAAATATATATTCTAATTTTAGAAAATTTTAAAATAAATAAAACATAGACAGTTTTTTTTTTTTTTTTTTTTTTTGATTTAATAATAGAATTATAAATTTCATAATATATTATTAATATGTTAATTTGAAATCGAATTTAAATGCATTATTAATATATTTTTTTAATATTTTTTTTTATTGAATGGATATTCGAATATTCCAGAATATTGAAAATAAAAAAAATGTATTCATTTATTTTAATATTTGAATATTAAAAAAAATCTGAAAATTATTTGAATATTCGTAAAAAAATTGAGTGTACTGATTTTTTTTAAAAAGACTACCAGTAAATATATTTTGAAATACTAGAAATGTAAATAAGAATTTTTTATTTTGAATTTATAAAATATTAATTTTGGAAATAATATATATACACGTGGTAATTGTTTAAATGAGTGTATAAATGTTGAATAGGAAATAACTTAAATACATACCAAAATAAAATTGACAACTCACCAATTGAAGAATCCACCTCATCAATTGAACTCCAACTAAGCAATTGTGATAAATGACATCATTATTTGCTACATGTCAATCATTAAGGGCATAGATCCTCTTTTTATATTATATATAGATTGAAAATTAAAATAAAAAAAAAAAAAAATTGTATTCCTTTCTTTAATATTTTAATATTAAAAAAAATATTTTTTTCTGAGAATTATTTGAATATTCGTAAAAATATTGAGTATCATGAATTTTTTCAATAAACGTGTTTTGAAATACTGAAAATATAAATAAGATTTTTTTTTTCTTTTCGAATTTATGAAATATTAACTTTGAAAATAATATATATACATGTGGTAATTGTTTAAATGAGTGTATAAATGTTAAATAGGAAATAACTTAAATACATACCAAAATAAAATTGACAACTCACCAATTGAAGAATCCACCTCATCAATTGAACTCCAACTAAGCAATTTTGATAAATGACATCATCATTTGCCATATGTCAATCATTGAGGGCATAGATTCTCTTTTTATATTATATATAGATATAAATTATCAAAATGAACTTATTTTTGCAATATCTTGTGAACCTAAAAAAAAAATCAGGGCGCTGCCCCAAACCCTCAAATTTTAGTTGGTCCCCTACATTTTGATTATGGTTCCATCACACAATCGACGTGTCTAACCACCCAACCATGTTGAAAACCGGTCCAACCGCCCGAGTTTTCCACCTCAAATTTTGGGAAAACAATTGGATGGGCCTATAAAAGACAATAGTCGGATTCCATTAACAAACTGACACGTGGACATATCTCAAATTTCTCTTACCAATATTATATAACAAGTGGGTTTGCCCATTTAATACAAAACACAAAAACTAATAAAAAATAAAAAAAATTCTCCAAAATCATTCAGCCAACAACAATTTGGGAAAAAAAATATAATTGTTCAAATTAAAAAAATATTACTACAAAAACCAGAAACCTGAAAACCTGAAAACCCGAAACCCGAAAACCGAAACCCGAAATCCAAAAACCCAAAACCCGAAAATCGAAACCCTAAAACCCGAAACCCCGAAAAACCCGAAACCCCGAAAAATCCAAAACCCCAAAAAACCCAAAACCCAAAACCCAAAACCCCGAAAAACCCGAAACCCCAAAAAACCCGAAACCCCAAAACCGGAAACCCCAAAAAACCCAAAACCCGAAAACCCGTCCGTTGAACATAAGGTTTTATATTATTATTATTATTATTATTATTATTATTATTATTATTATTATTATTATTATTATTATTATTATTATTATTATTATTATTATTATTATTATTATTATTATTATTATTATTATTATTATTATTATTATTATTATTATTTCGTTAGTTGTTAACCATTTTTTTAAATGTCAGTGTCTACCCTAAATTTACAACTATGGTAATTTAATTTAGTTTAATTAGATTTAGAGTTTGTTAATTAAATCATCCACGTGGCATAATATGAATGGAATCCGATTATTGTACATAATCAACTCATCCGGTGAGAATTTAAACTCATTTATGTATTTGATGTACAATAAAAGTAGTTATTACTTTGGTTGTCAAATATTAGTAACTAAAAAATTAATTGTGTGTATGTGTAATATGTATTACTAGTCTATTACACCATATATTAAACCAAAACGATCGTCGTTTTACTTTGACTTTGACATGAAGGGAAAGGTTTAAGGAATTTTTATAAAAAAAAAATACGAACTCACTTTGGATCAAACTCATGTGAAATCTTCTTCATAAAAAAAAAAAAAAAAAAAAAAAAAATTGTATTAACGGATGTAGTATTCCAATTTATATGAAACGAGTTTTCAACATCCGGACCGGTTCAGTGGATTATTGGGATGTCGGATTTGCATGTTAGTGACGATAAATGTGAATCTTGTTTTCGCGGCAGGTTAAGACTAAGTGCTAAGTCCTCAATTACATGGCAAAATAATTTCAACCGAGTCATCGAAATGTCGATAACTACGACCTACCGACGTGCGTGATCATTTTTTGGATCTAGTATAAATATAATGAATTACAGTAACTTCCAGGACTAATTAATGATCAGGCCCGCATGTATAATGTACTATATCTTAAGATGCCGTCTACGAAAGGTAATCCGATCGCCACATCGTCAATCCAGACTTTTGCGGTAGTGTATGTATTCGTTCTTTTCACACTATTATTTACAATTATTCATTCATGAGTTACATAGAAAAACAAGAGAGAAGAGAACTGGTTGACTAATTTACAGCAATGGAGAAGAAGCTCAAATTCATGTTCTTGATTCTTTCTTCAATATCACTACAGACAATCATGTCCAATGCAGACACCCAATCCTCCGACCACCGGAGCCCCTGCCTCGCCGGAAAAGAAAAGCTAACAACGCTGCGTTTCTACGTGCAAGACTTCGTCGGCGGGGACTCGCCAACTGTTTGGGAAATTGCCAAAACGAACCTCACCGACGTTCTTCCCTCAGCATTTGGCCTGGTCAGCGTTTTGGACAACCTGGTGACATCCGAACCGGAGGTCGATTCGAAAGAAGTGGGTCGGATCCAGGGGATTATCGGGTTGACGGATTTCCACGAGAAGGCTTTGGTTATGCTTCTGAATCTTGTTTTTACAGAGGGTGAGTATAAAGGGAGCACGCTTAGCGTTTTGGGAAGGAATCCTTTAGCGGAAGAGACGAGGGAGGTTCCGATCGTCGGCGGCACCGGTGCTTTCAGAATGGCGCGTGGGTATGCGGTTACTACTACTTATTGTTAGGTACAAGTTCTTTCCAAAACAGCCATGGATTCGTAGAAAAACACAAGAACAACTGGAAATGAGAATTAAAATGTATATTGATATATGAACGGCTCAGTTCCCTTTTCCAGTGTTCATCCAATTTATCCAAGGTCTGGTGGTAACACCAACTGAAAACAAGCACCAAAGTACAGCCACTGATCGGAACCCTAGATCTGACCCCAAAACCTCACTCCGAGTTGACTCACCAACACATGCACAGTCAACTCGGTGATAACTCACCCTCTCCACTCAGCACAAACCCAGTATTCTGCAAACTCAACACCAAAACCCTCACAGCAGAGGATTAAGGTCAGAAATGGACAGGTTTGAATAAAAGGTGAATCATACCTATCTCTCTCTCTCACCACAGTATATATACACACAGTTTCAACGGTCCTCAGCATTAATTGTGCTGTGACGGCAAGGACACCCATTGTCCGGCAAGACCTGCGACGGTGTTGCCGGAAAACGACAAGGGGTGACGAAGTACTGTAGAGAGAGAGGGGGACAGGAGAGGAGAGAGGGAACGGCGCAGCAGTGGAAATGCTGCTAGGGTTGAGTTGGTAAGAGGAAAGGGGAAACATGGAGGGCTCAGATTGAAGCCCTAGATTAAACGGTTCAGATCAAAGTTGACTGGATCAGTGGGCTTAAGTACTGTTGGGCCCAATTTCACAAGTTGGGCTGTGAATAAAATAAGTCATTGGCCCAGATCACAACAGATCATATTATTGGGCTCAATACTTAACAATTCTCCACCTGAGACCAATAAAAGGATTAGTATGAAACACACTTAATGGAATGGGATCATCATTGCCGTAACTGTGAATCTTGAACACTAATCACATAGATTGTAGTAGAAGATTCACACAGTATTTTTTTTTCACACAGGAGGTAATCACCAAGATAAAACCAACAATTAACATCACAAAGAAGTTAAGACAAAACGAATAAAACAAGCAATCACACAGAAAGCATCAACAGACTTGCACAAAGCAAGCAGACAAACACATGTCTGATTTCAATCAGTTTTTGAGACAATGTTCAAGATTCTCAAACATGATCTCAATTTTTCCACAGGCAGGCACTTAGTGCCCATGTCAGCAGGGTTGAATTCAGAAGGAATTTTCTCCAGGTCTATCACACCTTTTTTCACCACTTTCCGGATGAAGTGGTATTTGATCTCAATGTGTTTTGTTCTGTCATGAAAGACAGGGTTCTTGCACAATTGTATACCTGATTGGCTGTCAGAAAAAACAACAACTTTACCTTTCAAGAACCCAATTTCTGAGAGCAGCCCTTTCAACCAGAGAGATTCTTTTATAGCCTCTGTGGCTGCAATGTATTCAGCCTCTGTGGTAGAAAGGGCTACAATGTTCTGAAGTTGAGATTTCCAGCAAATACAAGAACCACACAAAGTAAACACATAAGATGTGGTGGACTTCCTATTATCTCTGTTATTAGCATAATTAGAATCCACATAACCACATAATTCAATTCCTTTTTCACACCTAGAAAATTCAATCCCTGTTCTAGCAGATCCTCTTAGATATCTCATTAGCCATTTCACAGCCTCCCAATGAGGCATGCCAGGATTGGCCATATATCTACTCAAACAGCTAACAGCATATGCAATGTCAGGCCTAGTACTTACCATTAAATACATTATAGAGCCAATTGCATTTGCATAAGGAACAGATTTCATATCACAGATTTCAGGTTCAGTCTTTGGAGACTGTTCCTTACTTAGCAAGAAATGAGCAGCAAGAGGCACAGACACAGACTTGGCATTTTTCATGGCAAATTTATCTAAAATCTTTTCAACATAGGCAGATTGGTTCAGAAACAAAGAACAATCTTTCCTATTCCTGATTATGTCCATTCCCAGAATTCTCTTAGAGTCACCAAGAAATTTCATGTCAAAGTTTTCACTTAAGCATTTATTAACATGATCAATAGCCTTTAAACAGGGACTAGCAATAAGCATATCATCAACATAGATCAATAGGAACACAGGTGATTGACAGTCATCTTTGAAATACAAGCAAGGATCAAATTCACTTCTTTTAAATTTCAAAGAGAGCATGCATGAGTCAAATTTTTTGTTCCACTGCCTAGGAGACTGTTTAAGGCCATACAGAGATTTCTTCAACAAACAAACATAATCAGGTTTATCAGGATCAACAAATCCTTCGGGTTGAGACATGAAAATTTGCTTATCAAGATCACCATGTAAGAAAGCAGTTTTAACATCCATTTGCTTAAGTTCCCAATCAAAATGAGCAACTAAGGCAAGCAAAATTCTGACAGTGGTGAATTTAACAACAGGAGCAAAGATTTCAGTATAGTCTATACCCTCTCTTTGAGTAAAACCTTTAGCTACAAGCCTAGCTTTATATCTAACAGAATCAGATTCATGCTTAATTCTAAACAGCCATTTACATTCAATCAAAGAGCACTTAGCAGGTTTTGGGACAAGAGTCCAAGTATGATTGACATGCAGAGAGTTAATTTCCTCTTTCATAGCAGATAACCACATAGCAGATTCAGGAGATTTTAAAGCATCTTTGTAGCACTTAGGTTCATTTCCATCTAAAGAATCAAACACATTGAAAACAAAAGATGCAAGCTGAAAATTATCAAGATGATGAGGTTTCCTAATTTCTCTTCTAGGTCTGTCCCTAGCAAGCTGATAATCATGCAAATCATCAATTTCAGGCAAATCAGACTCAACATTTTGATCAAACACATTTTCAGGCACAGAAGATGAATCATCATCATCAACAATATCAATTTCCTCACTCTCAAGAGGAGATTTCTCCACCTCAATAGGAGCAGAGGGGGGAACAATAAATGAAGGCACAGGCAAACAAGGATATTCATTTTCATTGAAAACAACATTTCTACTAATGATTGTTTTAAAACCATGTTCATTCTTTAGCCAACATCTATATCCCTTTACCCCTTCAGGATATCCAATAAAAACACATTTTAAGGATCTAGGTTCTAATTTATCAGATTTATGGTGAACAAAAGCAGTACAACCAAAAACTCTCAAATTAGACAAATCAGCTGGTTTCCCAGTCCACATAGTTTCAGGCAAATTTCCAGACAAAGGCACAGAAGGAGATCTGTTAATCACATAAGCAGCTGTTAAGACAGCTTCACCCCAAAACACTTTAGGCAAACCAGATGCATGCAACATGGATCTAACCCTATCCAATAAGGTTCTATTCATTCTTTCAGCTATGCCATTCTGTTGAGGGGTATATGCAACAGTCCTATGTCTTCTAATGCCAAATTCAGCACACAAAGAATCAAATTCATGATTACAAAATTCAGTGCCATTATCAGTTCTAAGAGTCCTAAGTTTCTTGTTTGTTTGATTTTCAATAAAGGTTTTCCAGGATTTGAACTTATCAAAAACATCAGACTTTTGCACAAGTAAGAAAACAAACACTTTTCTTGAAAAATCATCAACAACAGACAAGAAATACTTGTTTCCACCAGGTGTGGAGACAGGTGCAGGACCCCAAACATCTGCATGAACATATTCAAGGATCTCTGTGCACTTAGATGTATTAGGGACAGAGGATTTAGGGAATTTCACTTTAGACTGTTTACCCATAACACAAGAATCACACAAGGGCATATCAACAACAATGTCATCACTCAGATAGTTGTTTTTATGCAAAATTCCTAGTCCTTTACTACTGATGTGGCCTAATCTTCTATGCCAAAGATCAGTCATGTCATGCTGGACAGAATTAACATGTGAAACAGATAATGCAGATGCAACATACATATTATGCATTCTAACAGCCTTAAAAGAAAGCAAACCATCATGCATAATGTTCATGACCCCATCACCCCAAGTGCCCTTATACCCAGAATCCTCCAAGACAGCACAAGACATCAGATTGCTACTCAGTTTAGGAACATGTCTCACATTTTTCAATTTAAGCACATAACCAGATTGAAATTTCAGACAAACAGTTCCTATACCTAGCACATGTCTTTTACTACTATCAGCCATAGACACAGAGCCATTTTTTAATTCAACATAGGAGGTGAACATGCTTCTATGGGGTGTCATATGATTAGAGCAGGCAGAATCCATTAACCAGTCATTATCAGTCAAAGATGCAGACACAGAGTTCACAAAGTCAAGATACTCATCAGTAATCATAAACACATCACCCATGTTCTCAGCAACTTGATTAGCCTGTTCATTATTAGACTTAGAGTCTTTCTTAGGTTCAGAACACCTATTTGCATAGTGACCAGACTTACCACAGTTGTAACACTTCCTATGTTTGAGCTTATTCTTACTCCCTACTTTACCCTTATCAGATTTTTGAAAATTTTGGTTACTGGAGGAAGAAGCCTTATTTGAAAACTTGTTTTTAGGCTTGTTTTTCACAAAGTTAACATCACCCAAAGACTTGCTGTTTTTGGTGGTTTTCAAATCAAGTTCCTTACTCTTTAAACCATTTATCACAGTGTCTAGAGTCACTTTGTCTCTGCCATACTTGATGGCAGATTTGACATCACTGTAAGAGTCTGGAATAGCATTTAGAAGAACAATGGGGGTATATTCATCAATATTTTTGTCCCCAGTCAATTTAATATCTTGCACAAGTTTTGTAAAAACATCAAGATTTTCATCTATATCTTTGTGCAAGTCAAGTTTAAATCTAAAAAACTTTTCCAGTAAAAACATTTTTGAGGGTAAAGAGGTTTCAGTATAGAGCTCTTCTAACTTATCCCACAGTTCCTTAGCAGTATCAAGTTTACCTATCTTTCTAATCACAGAGTCAGATAGGTTCAGAATAATCAGGGAGTAAGCAAGTTCATCAAGATCATCTTTCATTTCCTTAGTGGTTTTATCATCATATGTTTGAGTGATGGCCTTAAAACATTTCTGTTGAACTAAAACACCTTTCATTTTCTGTTTCCATATAGCAAAATCACCCTTGCCATCAAAGGAAGCAACAGGATAGGAATTCATTTTCACACAGAGAGAAAAAGAACAATGTAAACTAAAGAGGCACACAAGCACACAAGCTGCACACAGACAGCAACAGAAAATAAAGCATGCAAGCTGCACACAGACAGCAACAGAAAAGAAAGCACACAAGCTGCACACAGACAGCAACAGAAAAGAAAACACACAAGCTGCACACAGACAACAACAGAAATGAAAACACACAAGAGATGATCCCAGGTGGCCCAACAGGGAGCCAAGTGTTGCAGAAGGCAACTAAGAAACCAGTCACAGACTGAGCTTTCTCAGGCTACTCCCCTTCCCCAGATTCCTGCGACACTAAGCGGTCCGGACAAGGGAAGTTTGGAGTGGCGAATAGCCTGAGTTGGCCCAGAAATCACACAGAGAACCGGTTGTAAGCTGAGCTATCTCAGACTGCCCCCCTTCCCCAGATTCCTGCGACACTAAGCGGTCCGGACAAGGGAAGTTTGGTGTGGCAGGCAACCTGAGTTGGCCCAGATCACAGAGAACAGCGGAAGCAAGTTCTGACCACACAAGGTCAACCACAGGTTTTCCAGGATTTTACCCAGAAGCAGAGTGAGTGAGTCACAGTAGTGTAATCCGTAGCACGAGTCTGCAAAGAACAAGTGTCCAACTGATGCTCTGGTACCACTGTTAGGTACAAGTTCTTTCCAAAACAGCCATGGATTCGTAGAAAAACACAAGAACAACTGGAAATGAGAATTAAAATGTATATTGATATATGAACGGCTCAGTTCCCTTTTCCAGTGTTCATCCAATTTATCCAAGGTCTGGTGGTAACACCAACTGAAAACAAGCACCAAAGTACAGCCACTGATCGGAACCCTAGATCTGACCCCAAAACCTCACTCCGAGTTGACTCACCAACACATGCACAGTCAACTCGGTGATAACTCACCCTCTCCACTCAGCACAAACCCAGTATTCTGCAAACTCAACACCAAAACCCTCACAGCAGAGGATTAAGGTCAGAAATGGACAGGTTTGAATAAAAGGTGAATCATACCTATCTCTCTCTCTCACCACAGTATATATACACACAGTTTCAACGGTCCTCAGCATTAATTGTGCTGTGACGGCAATGACACCCATTGTCCGGCAAGACCTGCGACGGTGTTGCCGGAAAACGACAAGGGGTGACGAAGTACTGTAGAGAGAGAGGGGGACAGGAGAGGAGAGAGGGAACGGCGCAGCAGTGGAAATGCTGCTAGGGTTGAGTTGGTAAGAGGAAAGGGGAAACATGGAGGGCTCAGATTGAAGCCCTAGATTAAACGGTTCAGATCAAAGTTGACTGGATCAGTGGGCTTAAGTACTGTTGGGCCCAATTTCACAAGTTGGGCTGTGAATAAAATAAGTCATTGGCCCAGATCACAACAGATCATATTATTGGGCTCAATACTTAACACTTATAGTAACGACGAAGCACATCATCATGGTGTTATTCAGTATGATGTTGTTGTTTATCATTTTGACGGTTTATTAACCTTGTTGTCTCAGTGACTGAATTAACGGGTTTTCGTTTTTGTTTTGTTTTGTTTTGTTTTGTTTTGTTTTGTTTTTGATGCAAAATAAATGAAATGAGTTTGGCTTGAGTGGAATTGAAGTGCGGAGTTAGACATGACTACAGTTCGGGTCAAATCCTAATAACGTCCCGGTTAATCGGGCTCATCGGGAGGGTTTGACTCGGAACCTTGATCTAGACCTTGGTATGCAAGCGCCGATTAAAGGTAAATGTTTTCAGGTCGTGAACCGCAGCAAAAGTCTAAATATCCCTAATTGTTTTTTCGTTATAGATCAAAAACCGAGATTATAAAAAATAGGGTAAATTATAATCATCCCTGAGATATGGCTAAATTACGAAAATCCCCCTCTTGTTTGGGTAATTACAACCACCTCTCAACTATAAAACTTCTTACATGTTCATCCTTGCAGTTTCAAATTTAGTTGAATCTTCTAGATTATATGGAATATTATCACTTTTGTATCCATTTTAACTCCACGTTTGAAGCAGGATGGTCATAATACGTGTTTTTTGGCTTGTATATATCAGATTATGGTGCATCAGAAACTGTATTTTTACACAAACGAGTCCAAACTAGAGCCCATTCCACGAAATCTAAATGATTATGTTGAATTTGACACCATAAAGGTGGATCAGGTGTAATTGACGCAGAACGGAAGCACGGTAAAGAATTAATTTCTACGAATTAATCCTATAGAACAAAATAACATTCGGAATCCACCGAAAACTCTGGAATCCACCAGAAAAATAGAGAAAACTCTAAATATTTTATTAAAATTCGAAAATCTTCTCAAAATAAAGTCCTAAGGCAGCTATTTATACTAAAAAACTGAAAACCCTAATTAAACTAAGAAAATACCAAAAATTACCAAAAACGGCAAAAACGAGTTAAACCCTAATTCTAGTAGATCTCGTAATTTTAGGAATAACCCAATTTACGGAATCCTAATACGATTTTTCTATGATTTAATATTAATTTTCTAAAACTTACCTAAAATAGCAAAAACGAACTTTTGGGAGTCTAAACGACGTTGGATTGCTGAAACTTGACGTGATTCATGAGCTTTGCTCATGAGTTTTGTTCCTTGCGTCGTTTCACTTGAGATAGAGTTCGTTTCGTACTCAAATACAATTCGAGTTTTTCGAAAACCCTTACTTTTCCATAATTTCTTTCGATATTTCCACCAATGCCCATTAATAACTCTTCTCCGAATTAAATAGTTATTTTGCAACTCGAATCCAATTTGACGTCCTTTATCAATCTCCTCTTCTTCAAAAGAGCTCGACCTCGAGCTATGATCAAAATATAGCGAAGCATATTTCTTTGCAAACAACTTCAAGTGCTCCACCAATCTTCCCGGCACAAAAATCTTGCTTACAAAATCTTCCTCTAAACGAGGCATTAAAAATATTGGCTGCTTAATCGAAAATTCCAATGGCTCCACCAATTTCTCCGATACAACAACTTCACAACAAACACTATCTACAATTAGATCACCTACCTCAACGCGCATAGTTGAGGAGAGTAGATGTAATTATCCAAACAAGAGGTTTTTTTTTGTAAATTAACCATACTTCAGGGTGTTTGTAATTTACCCATATAATAAATTACAGTAAGTTCCAGGACTAATTAATGATCAGGCCCGCATGTATAATGTACCAATTTATAATATTTAGATGCCGTCTACGAATGGTAATCCGATCGCGACATCGTCAATCCAAACTTTTGTGGTCGTATTCATGCTGTTACATTATTGTCATTTCATAGAAAGAAGAAAAAAAAAACTGATCATTGACTAATTTACAGCAATGCAGAAGAAACTCAAAATCATGTTCTTGATTCTTTCTTCAATATTATTACTGACAATCATGTCCAATGCAGACACCGAATCCTCCGACCGTCGGAGCCTTTGCCTCGCCGGAAAGGAAAAGATATATATATATATATATATATATATCTCATGCGCTACCCGTTATCCTAAAATAATAAAGTTTTTATATATATATATATATATATATGTATATATATATATATATATATCTTCTAATTATATGTAATATTATCACTTTTGCACTATATATATATATATATATATATATATATATATATATATATATATATATATATATATATATATATATATATATATATATATATATATATATATATATATATATATATATATATATCAGATTTTGGTGCATCAGAAACTGTATTTTTACCCAAAACGAGTACAAACTATTGCACATTCTACGGAATCTAGATGATTATGTTGTATTTGGCTAGGGGTGACAATTTGGATCCGGTTCTATGGATCCGATGAGATCTAGTTCGGTCCCCATGGATCCAGTTTAGATTAAACCTAGTTGGAATAAACCGGATCGAACCAAGTTGATTTTTTTAAAAAACTGGATCCATGTGGATCCACTTTAGATCTATTGAAAGTTCAAGTAAAAATGAAGTGGGTCATGTTAGATCCAATCAAAACCAAATTAAATACTAAAACAATTTTCTCAAAACAAAAGTCAAACATTATTTTATTTGTATTTTATTTTAATTATGAATAATAATCAAAATCATTTTATAACAAATGTTAGTGTGTGTGTGAGATATGTGTGTGTTTCTGAATATGTGTGAGTATGTGTGTTGTGTGTGTGTGTGTGTGTGTGCACAAATATGTGTTAGTGTATGTGTGAGAATATGTGTAAATATGTGTGCGTGTGTGTGTCTGTGTGTACAAATATGTGTTAGTGTGTGTGTGTGTGTGTGAGACTATGTGTAAGTATGTGTGTGTGTCTGTGTATGAAAATATGTGTTAGTGTGTGTGTGAAATATGTGTGTGTGTGTGTGAATATGTGCGTGTGTGTGTGCAAATATTTGTTAGTGTCATTTTATAGCAAATGTTAGTGCGTGTGTGAAGTGTGTGAAATGTGTAAGTATGTGTTAGTGTGTGTGCATTTGAATATGTGTAAGTATGTGTGTGTGTGTGAGTGTGTCTGTGTGTGCAAATATGTGTTAGTGTGTGTATGTGTGTCTGTGTGTGCACATATGTATTAGTGTCTGTGTTTGCGAATATATGTTAGTGTGCGTGAGTATGTGTAAGTGTGTGTGTATGTGTGCAAATAAATGTGTGAGTGTTTGTGTGAATATGTGTAAGTGTGAAAGTTGAGTAAAAAACCACATGGGTTGAGATACACATCCCTAAAAGTTGAGAAATTCAACTTTATAAGTTGAGTTAAAAGATGCAATGAATCCATGTGGATCCAATCCGGATCTTTCTTAATCCAATACACATCAAACTCATTCATATAAGTTGATTTTGGATTCAGTTCTTTTTTGATCCGATCCTCCAAATTAAAAAATTGCCACCCCTAGATTTGACACCATAAAGGTGGAGGTTTAAAAAGATTCTCGTAATTATCCAAATAAAATGGTCTTTTCCTTAATTTGACCATACATTAGTTGTAATTTATCCATAAATAAATTTATATATCGCATATTTTAAGTTCACAAAAAAATAATAATTAATTTACATTGAAAAGTTTTTAAACAATCAAATAATGTAGTTGGGTTGTTATAACCTAATGGGCCTACCGAAGCTTTTCCGGCCCTCTTGAATTGGAAACTATAATATGACTGTCGAATGAAACGCATAAGCCTTTTGGGTTTTTTTATGTAAAGCCCAATAAATAGATTTGTATTTGATGTTTAAGATTTCTTTTATAATTGTTAGCATGGATAACGTCAACTTACAATTTTTTTTTTGGTAATTACAATTATCTTTTAACTATGAATTTTGTACACGTCTATTCTTATGGTATCAAATTTAATATAATTTCGTAGGTTTCGTGGAATGTTTTCTAGTTTGTACTCGTTTTGTGCAAAAATACAGTTTCTGATGCACAACAATCTGATATTTACAAATCAAGACCCCTTCTTACGATCATCTTATTTCAAAATATTCGAATATGGTAAACCAAGTACAAATTAGAGAATATTCCACAAGATTCTACTGATTTTGACATTGCAATGCTCTTCTTCATCGATTATTTTCATTGTTCATGTTTTCTCTTTGGCATCTCATACGCACATAGCGATTGAATAAACACAAAGACAATCTCAATGATCGGTAAAGTGTGTGATTGAAAACGGGACACCGTTCTCTTAAGTCCGGAGATTTGACGCACCTTCTAGGATCTAGAAACCTCTATGATGAGGTAGAACAACGAGCACCAAGCTCTTTTGCCTATGCGCTTACGAAGACTCCTTCACTTAATGATATCCGAAAGTGGATGTGTAAGAAGATTCATGGTTGATGGGATGACTGTAATTACCCAAACATGAGTGAATTTTTGTAATTTGACCATACATTAAGGGTTACCGTAATTTACCCTAAATTAAAAGAAGAAAAAATTTGTCCTTTCATATTTTAGAAATATTTGCTTGAATAGCAAAATCAAAAATCGTGTGAGGGAAAACGCGACTTCTTCGAAGACAATTGACAATAGTTTGAAGCGCCTTTTTCTTGTCTGCCAAGCTCCGTTGTGTTCACTTTATACATTTTCCCCCATTCCGAGTAGTCTCCGTCTTCTGCAAATCATTTCTTAAGAAAAGAAGAAAAAAAAAACTAAGTACAGAGACACAGATCAAACCCTTGCACACACACAAACACTTCGGCATTACTAGAAGAAGAGTGAGATATGGCCCGATACGACAGAGCAATTACGGTTTTCTCGCCGGACGGCCATCTCTTCCAGGTCGAGTACGCTCTCGAAGCTGTACGCAAGGGTAACGCCGCCGTCGGTGTTCGTGGCACCGACACCATCGTACTCGCCGTTGAGAAGAAGTCCGCTCCTAAGCTGCAGGATTCTAGGTTTTGCTCCTTTCTCTCTCTACAAACACTCTCTCTCTCACACACACACCGAAACAAACACATGCTCGCAGATCGAGGGATGTAAATTTTCATTTTCTGTGATTTATTGTGGTTTAGATGAATAATAGGTTTTGTCTAGGGTTTAGGATTTGGTATTTCGAGCTATTATAATTATTAGTACTGCTGATTTTTTAATTTTTTTTTAATTGTAGTGATTGAAAATTGGGTGTGGATTTAGAGGCTTTGATGATATAGTTCATGATATGACATCAGTTGTTTCTACACATATGGAGTATTGATTTCGAGGAGTCAATTGTACCCAATGTCTTGTTTGATAATTAGGATTAGAGTTGATAAACAATATAATCAAGCTTTGTTAAACATTTGGCGTTTAGGTTTCAAGCCATGGCTAAAAAATGGGGCTATCAAGCATATGAAGGATATTTTGTCCTGCTCAAATATTGCACAATACAAGGATTGTATAATTAGGATTAGAGTTGATAGAGAATATAATCAAGCTTTATTAAACATTTGGTATTTAGGTTTCAAGCCATGCTTAATAAATGGTGGCAACTTTTAATCACGCATATGAAGGATATTTAGTCCAAGCTCAACCCTTACTATTCCACAATCATATGAGGAGTATTGCACAATACAAGGATTATATAATCTCAAGTCCCAAATATAAGATTGTAATCCTGTCCAATTCAATTGATCTTATCAATCCCATAGACATTCCCAAATGAAGCCCGAAATAAGCTTCACTAGTTGACGCTCATGATATCCGTATTAGATTCACTTTCTTGCATTAATCAGATACTATTAGTTCAGCTCTTAAATTGCCTGATTTTAATGCTTATTTTCTCTGATATCTTTCAGATCAGTGAGGAAGATTGTCAATTTAGACGATCACATAGCATTGGCTTGTGCTGGACTGAAGGCAGATGCACGTGTCTTGATAAACAAGGCACGGATTGAATGCCAGAGTCACAAGCTTACAATCGAGGATCCTGTAACTGTCGAATACATTACTCGCTACATTGCTGGTCTTCAGCAGAAGTACACACAGAGTGGCGGTGTGAGGCCTTTTGGCCTTTCAACTTTGATCATTGGGTTTGATCCACACACAGGAATTCCATCGCTTTACCAGACGGATCCATCGGGGACATTTTCCGCATGGAAAGCAAATGCTACTGGGAGAAACTCAAACTCCATAAGGGAGTTTCTCGAGAAGAATTACAAGGAAACATCCGGACAGGAAACCTTGAAGTTAGCCATTCGTGCTTTGCTGGAGGTAATTTATTTTTAAGGAGATACTACTCAATTCTTTGTATTCCGTGCTTCAGTTAATTCGGTGCCTTTTGTTCTATAACTAAACATTGTTGTCTTAAAAACAATGATTAGCTGATTGTGTTTCTTTCTGTGTGTAGATAAGTTTTACATATTTCTTATGCTTCATCTTTTTTGCTCTTTTCAAGTGGTTATTTACTCAAAGGGTTAATACTTTATAGGGATCCTTTACCACATAAATTGACATATCTATCGCCAGAGTACTTCAGTTGTCAGTAACATGAAATCAAATGAACTTCGAAAAGTTATGTATGGGTTTGACTTCTATAAACACTTTGATAATGTGGAGGTTCATGAGTTTGTTTGGTAAATAGTGTAAATTAATATCTGGTAGGGGCACATGGAAGATCAAACAGAAGCTTGTCATGAGTGTTATTTGTATCTTTCTGCAAGTTGTGCAAGTACGATGGCGTAGAATTTAGAAAATACCTGCACATTAGTGCAGAAACCATTGGGCATCTGTAGAGATTGATGGTTACTTGGTACTTTTTTCTATGTTTAAAATCCAAACCTTCATTGAGTGGAGAACAGTAACTTTGAATTTCTCAAATGCAGCAGTGTCGAATTGTGACCATCAAAATGAAGTTCTCCTCTCTAATTTAGTTTTAGATCTTCTATTATTTCACAGTGTAGCCTGTCTTCTTTGAATCTTGCTTTTTGGTCAATTCAACCTGTTCTGAAATGAGGTTTTGTATTAGAGAATTTCGTTTAGAATTTCTATTATTTCAAAATTGCATAACACCTCCTTCCTTTATATCTTTGGGGACTCGGTAGAAGCAGTAGAGAACACAAGTAAAAGCTACGGCATATTCCACATTCTTCCGTTGCTTTATGCTTTCTGCAGCTTGTTTTCTTGGAACTTGTACTTTTTAATAAATGTTTTTGGCATAATAGTAGAGTACTTGCTTTGAATTACACGGTCTAATAATTATTGTATATGAAAAAATCTGTACTTTTTTATACGTGAAGGTTGTGGAGAGCGGAGGAAAGAATATAGAAGTTGCTGTAATGACTAAAGAACATGGACTGCATCAACTCGAAGAAGCTGAAATTGATGCCATTGTTGCTGAGATTGAAGCTGAGAAAGCTGCCGCTGAAGCTGCGAAGAAGGGCCCTTCTACCAAGGAAACTTAAGTCTGGGGTACTCTATAAATCCTTTACATTATCGCTTTTGTGACTTTGTATTACAGATTTTTTTATCGCCTTTTTTTTTCCGTGGATTTTGTCTGTGTTTTGATCCATAACTAAAAGAGAGACTAGATGTTTTTTCTTCTCTAAATGTAAAACTATTTATGCTATGTCTTGCAATTTTTATTCGTTTCCACTCACTGGTGCATGTTACCGATTTCGTGTAAGCAACATCTTAAAACTCAATTACACGCATATATACGTGTCCTGTGTGTGGAACCTGTATTGTGTGATGTACTTATGTTAGACGATTGTCTAATCTCCGT